CGCGCCGCGGGGGGCGCTGGGAAATGTAGTCCCGTGGCCCCGCCCCGAGCGTCCCGCCGCTGGCAGCGCGCTGTCCCAAACCGGGGGGGCTCGGCCCCCGGCTTTTGTGCTTCCAAAAGCAACGCCCGCACGGAGGACCCTGCGCTCCAGCAGCTCCCGTGCTGCTGCTTTGCTGCATCGGGCGGCTGACGGTAAAATAAGCTGGGATTTAGGGTTTTTTTGTGGTCCAGACCAGCTTTGCTGACCCACATGCCAGAGCTGGTAAGTGGGAAAGGAAAACACCCCCAAAGAAACGACTCGCTTTTCTTCCGCCATAGCCTTAGCTTTGACCTTGACATTATACAATCACATTAGCAACAAACATTTTTCTTCCCTAACGCGCAAAGAAATGAAGATTTTCTAAGCTTGGCAGTAGATACCCAAGGTACGAATAGCACACGATTTCGAGCAACACGTTCTGTTACAGAACATAAAAAAAAAAAAAAAGAATAAAAAAGCCAAGAGCGCCGAACCACACTGCAAATAATTTCTATATTGACTTTACTGGCACAAATGAAAAATAAAGAACTAATCATGGGAATATCCAGGCATTTCTGAGCAACCTCAAACTTCTTGACTGCATCTGTATTTGAGCATATTAACTACAAGAGCAACCGTTAACAAAACACCCAAAGCCTCATGCCAGTGGGCCTTTTCCTATCATATATTAAAATCTACTACAAAATTCACAGGCACTTTCTGAACATAAGCAAAGGTTGGGGAGAAGCTGCAGAGCCAACAGACTGGCAGCTCCTGACAGGTAACCTGCAGAGCTGCCCGCACACCTGAGCAGTTCTTTATTTGGGCAATGAAAGTGTTAAGTAACCACCTGCAAGGCACTGATCAAGCAGAGCAAAAGCTCCTGTGACAGTCTGAGCCACAGCTGCTGTGCTTACACAAGTCATACACCCATCTTCCCCTCTGTCCTTCAGCAAGACGCTCCAGAAATAACTGGTGTATCGTTCTCCATTACTGGCTCCTTATGACATTACAGTCCTTACCACAGGGGCACTTGAGCAGTTTGGTAAAAAGCTTAGAAAAAAAGCAAGGGAAGTGCCACCCACCCATTCTGCTGACAGATACATGGTCTTCAATCCTGGAAGCGACATGATCGTTCCTTTTCCCCCTCCTCACTATCCGTAATGCCACACGTGCCAAGCGACGAGGCTCTCTGCTGACTTAGCTTGACAGAGTAAAGAAGTCAGCCAGACATGCCAAGGTTGAACTACAATGCTAAAGAGTCCAGTGCTTCAGGCCAGAGCACACCTTACAGCTTTTCCCTCCCGCAGCAATTTAATATCCTACAAATTGGGTTGATCAGCTATATTTTGGTCAGTTAACTGAAATAACAGACAGATGCTCAAGTGAAGAATTCAATGTATATTTATTATTCACAGTTAATGACTATCTACCAAATGCTGCTGCAGAGTTAAAGGATTAAGTACATAGGCCTTTTTTATTTAAACACTGATTTTTTTTTTTTTTAATATATATACACACACAAGACATGTCTGCAAGGCTGCATGATATACACCAATTCCAAAATAAGGAAACAATCAAATGGTCCAGGTGTAGAATGCCATAGATTCCTTTTCCAATCACTTTACAAAGAAGGAAGAAAGTGAGTGACAGCTAGCAAGGAGAGGGGGAGAAAGTAATACTCTACAGGATAGCTCTCTCTTTCATCTGCTGGAAAATTAAAGTGTAAGGCAGAGTCCATCTCAGGAATAAAACATCCGTAACGCTTAGTACAAAAAAAGGCACCCTCCAACAAAGATTGCCTATCCTTAGGCAGGGTGGGAGGAGATCTCCGCTGCAGTTTTTGGATTCGTTGGTGGGGTGAAGGGATCCAGCCAAATGGCCATCAAAAGGAAAAATAATGCAACTGAAGATTGGCACAGAGAGCGGTGGTGCGGCTTGATTGCTTTCCATTCCGTCCAATTTAACATCACATTGCTCTGGTGTGAGGAGCAAATGGTCACAATAAATGCCATTATGATGCAGGGTGGGGATTACAGTCATCACACAGCCTGCTGTGAATGGGGAGCGGGGTGGGGGGAATCTACTTCAACAGTAACACGGACCTGAGGAGGGAGAAGAAACTGGAGAACAGTGATGCCAACCCCACTTCTCAAGAGCAACACGACTGCAAATATTTCCTATCCAGGCCAGAGAGACAGGCTGATTACATGCATCATGTAGAAACATTCACTAATAGCATAAAGTTTTTTCAAGCACTATTTCTTGAGGTTTCTCTGCATTATAAAGTTTTCCATCAAAGGAATGTACATTTTATAGGACATCTCAGGGCTATTATTTCTCAAATTCCCCCCTTAACCCTCCCTCCCCAAAATATTCTTCCTCATTTTCCCTGGTCATAACTTCCCCCTTTCTCTTACTTCTTTTGAGGCTCCTGGTTGCAGCTCCCCACCTCTAAGCAGCCTAAGCTGCCACTTGAATGCCTGAATTTATTTTCCTTGTAATAAGGAAAGTTGAACAGTAAGACAAATCTTAAGATTAAAGCTCCATCTCTGTTTGTAGACTTTTCTCAAATGTCCATTGATAAAACCACCCTCCTTTACACCCTTCCCCCAAAAGTATTTATTTACACATAGGCAGAAAAAAACCCTCTGAAAAGCTGTGGACTGTCCTTTTAACTTAAAAAATAATAAAAAAGAAAATAAGGGAAAGGCACTATGGAAAAAATTACAGAATGTGCTCAACCGTACACCTTTAAGAAAAAACAAAAATAGCTGTCAGCACAGCATTAACAGACTTCAGTTGTATGTTGGAGTTTCTCAAAGCAGCTCTGTGACTCAAAAGGAAAAAAAAAAAAGAACAAAACAAAGAGCCACACAACTCTTCTCCCTTCCCCTGCTTGGAAGCTGCTGAGCTTCAGAAGAAAGTGCCAAAGGAGAAGAGACAACAAAAATTAGATCAACACCTCATCCTTCCCAGGCAAGAAGAGCTGAACATTGAAGGCAAAAGCAAAGACTCATGATTTTTTTTTTTTTTTTTTTTTTTAAAGGCAGGACTGTGGATTTGGTTCTTCTCTCATGTCCCTTCATGTCAAATGAAGACCGTTTGTAGAGAGAGAAAATACCAGCAGAGTTTCTCCCTTTTCCTTTAACTGCATGGCTAGGACTTTATATGGCATTAAAACTTCATGCACTGATGGACAGAGGAGGAGGGGGAAACAAGAAGTGTGAATGAAAGGGGGTAACCCAGGAGCAGCTGAGGAAATTTGTTATTTTCTTTTTTCTCTCTCTCTCTCTTTTTTTTTTTTTTTTTTTTA